GGGCGCGTGGCTTCTGCAACCCCGAAGCCTCCTTTTGTCCGCCGGCGGCGTGAGGAGTGCGTGCCGGGGGCTTTGTTCGGTCGGGAGCGCTCTCCCTTCCCTGCCCTCGTATTCGTCACCGGGTCCGCGTTCTCGGACGCCGGGCTAGGCAGCGACGGTGGCGCCGGCTTGGCCCCAGGCTTGGGGCACAGTTGTTTGGGGGGAGGTGACGAGGGTGGTGCTTTGCTGCCCTCTCTAGAGCGCGCCAAGCACCCGGAGTCCAGGGCTGAGTCTCCCCGGACCTCCAAAGCCGGGGAGAGCGTAGCGAGGACTGGGTCGGGAAAGGCAAGGTGGCTGTGGGGTCGAGTGGCTTGCGAGTTTGAGGAACCTAGGTGGGTTTGTCCCCGACGCGACTTGGAAGTTCAAGTTTGGGGCTGCTCTCCATCCCTCACTGTTTGAAGTAACGCGTTCCCCGGTCCCCACCCCCTAACTGTTCGCACCTGGCGGCCCTGTTTGGGGTTAGCTAGCTGCTTACCTCTGGTCCGGGCCACAATGGGACGGCGCAGACAGGGCTCAAAGCCTGCTGGCAAGGTCCTGGAGAGCGCCGGTGGGATCTGACTCCTTCCCCTCTCTCTTTGCTCCCTGCCCACTTTCCAGGTTAGCTTTATACGTCTACGAATATTTACTGCACGTAGGAGCACAGAAATCTGCACAGACCTTCTTATCGGAGGTGAGTGGGACTCCCCCCAGCATCCAATTTCTTGACACCCCCCTCCCCACTATTCTTAGAGCCTTTGTTTTCAGGAGCAGCCACTGTGGCCACCATTTTGAATTTTTATCACCTTTTGGCATTTATTGTTAGTTGGTCTTCCCAGCCTTTTGGCTCTAGGAAGCCCCCAGCCCACCCCGTGTCTACTCCTCTAAGCTGCCTCCGCTCTTACCTTTCCAGATTCGATGGGAAAAAAACATCACGTTGGGAGAACCGCCTGGGTTTTTGCACTCGTGGTGGTGGTAAGTTTGTGTGATAGTTTTGCATGTGTGTTTGTTTTGTTCTGAGCCCTGGGTCCAAGTGAACAAAGAAGGGAGGCCTGGAGCAGGCCCTCCACCCTGTGGCCCTCCGCGTTGCACAGAGCGGGGCAACTCGAGGCACTCTGGCCCAGCTGGCCAGGGAGGAAAAGGGCAGAAGAGGATGCTACCTGAAGTTTTGGGGGGAAAACGACAAAATAATCTGTGATGTTGGGGTAGAAACTCCTTACTTTTACATCTCACTCTGGGGCTCTAGGCAAGGGTTTGAAAAAACATTGGAGGATTTTTGTCAATTCTGCATGTTGCTTTAATTAGAGGAGTGGGGGTGGGGCGGCGTTGAGGGGATACCAGGTCTGTTTTACAACTAGCCTGTCCCTTTTTCTCCTCGGAGCTTACAACCTTAAGATAGGACATCTACGGGACTTTTTCCAGGCACCCTGAGAAAAAGCAAGAAAGGGCTGCCACTTCCTTTAAAGATACTGATTCAGACTGACTGGTCCTTCCTTTCCTCTGGGAGCTCCCCGCCCCCCTCCCCCACTAAAACCACAAAGTGTTGTTTTAGGCAGAACCTTAACTGGTCAGAGTCGACCTCACAGTGTCTGTAGTTAGGGGCTCCCACTCTCTGTGACTCTCTTACCAGGTCTCTGTGTCCTTTGGGTGTGGGGCCACCGCAGGTTTGGTCTCTGTTGGGTATACGACAGCCAAGAGGGAGCTTAGGGTCAGCTGGACCCAGTTGCCCTAAATGTATGACCCCGGTGTTTTGTGCCACTGACTGGTGGAGTCTTTAACATCCTTTTGAAAAAGAAAAGAAAGCAGAGTGGCTTTTGATACTTTGATGGAGTTCAGCAAAACGGTGTGTCCTGTCTCCTGTCTGTTGGCATCTTAGCGGGTTTACCTGCCAGCTCAGGTTACTGTTCTAAGTCTTAGAACAGCAGGAGGATGAAGTGTCTGTTCTAACTTGTGCAGAGAAAATGAGTTTTTAATTACTTCTGCCAACCTCGGAACTGCAGGTCTTGGAGGCATTAGTGTGGCGGAAGGATTCCATCTGTAGGAGTGGGTGATAGGTTTTCTGTGGCTGTTTTTGGAGGGAGTGTGTGGATGGGGTTGGCAGCTCTGATCGGCTTGGATCTTGTAGAAAGTTAGGCTTATGATTGAAGGTTACTTAGGCTTATGAGTGAAGGCGCTGGGGAATTTGTAGTGTTGGAAACCTTTAACGTGTGGAGGAGGTAATCAGATGTGTACAGTTCCAGAAGACAGAAAGAAATGTTCTCTAGCCCCTCTCTGCAGCTAGTAGAAGTCCCTGATTTTCCTGTTACATTCAGGAGCTCCTGAAACTTCTCCATCCTTATCTCAGGCACAGGAACGTAGAGTCTGTTGTGTGAGGCCCGGGCGATGGTGGCTTATGAGTGACTGTGGTCCTGTTTGGTAGAAGTTGGTTCCTGCGATTTGACACTGAGCAAAATGACCCAAGGAGAAAGCAGTGGAGCTTGTCTGTTGAGGGGCAGGCTGCATTATTCACACACCTTGAGTGAGATGCTTGTCTGATGACTTGCAGAGCTGCCTGTTTGTGACGAGGACAAGAGCATTGGACCAGGAGTCGGACTTTGGTTTTGGTGCCCACTTTACCCTTTAAGCTGGTTCTGTCCCTGGGCCTTGGGCTCCTGATCTGGAGAGTTTCTTAGGTCCCTTGTTAATAACAGTGACAACTCCGTCTTTGAATAGGGCTTTATTGGTTGACATAGGACTTGTATGTCTGTTCTCGTACAAAATGTTGGAGTGACCCTACAAAATCTTTAGTGGGGGGTGAGGCAGGCATTTCTGGGCTTGCTTCCTTCTTCCCTTTGCTGACAGGTGCTTCTCTGAAGAGGGCCCTCTACTGCAATGTGAAAGGACCGGATACTTGGATGTCCGTGACCTGTCCTTTGCCTAACTGATTTGTGTTTTTTGGTGCGTGGAGGGAGGAGTGGTTCTTGCATAAGAATTCCTTGGGGGAGGGCTTGGGTGGGAGTGGGGGTGGGGTGGGAAGGGTGGAGGTGTGGGCTCTGGGATTAAGAACCTGTAAAATTTCCTTTATTGACAGAGTCTCCTAGATTGCTGGATGTATGAATCATAGTTATGTCCTGACTTTGGCACTTGAACCTTTTTTAGGATATGCAGCCATTTTGGTTTGGGTGGTGAAAAGAAAACAGATGAGACCAGTATGGATTCTCATCCACATTTGCGTTCGTCCTCCTAGGGCATCCATGAGTGGGTTCTACTAACCCCTTTGAGCTTCAGTTGCCCCCTGTGTAAAGTGGAGAGAAAATTGCCTACCTTATAGTCTATGGTAGACACAAGTAATACGGGTGTGAGGCATCGGGCACGTAGTAGGTATTTGATATATAAGAACTATTACTCCCATTACTAATGGCTGACTTGCCAGAAAAAGTTGGACGTGTTCTGTTTTTTAGGCTGTTTGCCCAGTGAGAGCTGATAAGGTGGGATTGAGCCTTTGGGAGACCTAGCACTGTTAGCGCCATGCAATGTGCACTTGCCGTTGTGTACACAAGTAATAATTAGTAACCTGACCTTATTGTATTTTCCTCCTTGCAGTGTATTTTGGGACCTTTACTGTGCCGCTCCTGAAAGGAGAGACACTTGTGAACATTCGAGTGAAGCAAAAGCCTTTCATGATTATGTGAGTAACACATTTTTAATCCTAGCAATAATTATAGGGTTGGATAGCTCTAAGTTCTCTAGTACGAAAAGCAAATACACAGCCATTTGGCAGTGGTCTTTATTTTCTCCTTGCCTTTCTTTCTGTTCCCCTGCCCACCTCTCTGCAGCCCTCCCCATGGTACTCTTCTCCAGCAGTGTTCTGACTTGGTGAACGGTGTTTCATAATGTTGTGATTGTGAAAAATTGTGTAGCTATCTATGTGGAGAATTAAATGGTGTTGTACAGGACTCAGAACTATGTGAGACTTACGTTAAGAGTGGACAGTTAGCTGAGAGGGGACTAAGCCTCTTTAGTGTTGGTTTCAGAAGAAATTGTAACAAACGAAACCCAGTATGAAACTTGTGTTTTGGAGTTGAATGAGAATTTGGTGGAATGGAACTTTCTTGCTCTGCTTTCCAGAGAGCGATCTTTCAAATTATGGGGGGTGGGGGGTGTGTGTGTGTGTTTGGTGTGGATGGGTTCATACTGTATCCACTAAGAAGATTTGTACTCTGAGATCATCAGCTAGTTCATAATCTTGTGGCCAAAATATTCTTGTGAAGATAGTTAACATCATCAGATTGTAGTTCTTTTTACCCTATTATTCACTTTCTACCTGGATGAGTTTCTTAAGATTTATGAAATTATTACGAGAGAGTTGTCTGCCATCTATTCATCTCCCATAGCAGTCCTCTTCAGGAAAAACAAACAAACCCAGGTTTCAAACCTGGATTGGAGTCACACATGAAGATCCGATGAAATAGGTTAGGACCCATCTTGGGGAGATGGAAGAGGATGTGTCTGAAGGTCTTCCATAGCCTCCATTCAGTTTTGCTTGCTGACCCTATAGATGGTTAAGCATGTCCATATAGCAGGTGATCTAATTGGTCTTGCTCTTCTGCGTGCAGTGGGTAGGAATGGTCCTGGGAATCCGTGGGTCCTTGGGAGTTGGTTTCTTGAACGTCGTTAGGTCCCACCTGCTTGGGCCAGCCATCTGAGTTCCCTGTACGTGGAGGTTGAAATTGGCTGGGAGACCAGACCCATTTGGTTGTTTCACAAGTGGTCAAATCCCATGATCACCAATGTCTTCGTGGTGAAAATTTCTCCTGTAATATGAGGAGTTAGAGACCCAGGTGGTGGCCCACTGGTTTTGAGAATATTCAATGTGATGCAATTTTGTTGTGAATGAAAAGTTAATGCTCTTGGAAAGGAACACTGAGGAAATTGAGCAGTCCTTGTGCCCTCTTCAGGGCTGAAAAAGAGAAGCTGGTGAATGATATGTCTGGTCTGATAAACTTACGTAGTAGTGAAAGGGAGAGGTCACTGGTTCACTTATGATGTGGTTCTTCTGGGAAAATCCCATGGTGATGATAAGATTTCCTGAACTGGATGTTCAGGGAGGCTAAGAGGTACACAGCTGTATAAAAATAGTTGGTGAATTTGACCTTTCTACCTAGTAAAAATCTTGCATGTTTTTTTTCCTAAACCTGTGAACAGCCAACACTGTTGCTAGTTTTTGACTATTATGCAAATAGTTTCATTTTAGAATCTGGGGTGGGTGGGTGTGTCTGTTTCATTCTCTTGATGTAGCATATCTATGCTATTTTTTGGCTGTACCTTTCAGAGAAGTTAGTGATTTAACTAAGTTTGGTCCTCTATAAACTTGAGACTCTTCGGCAACTTGTGGTGTAGTCTTCCATCTTGAAACAATATGGCGGCAGTGAAAGTTTGCACATGGGTTTGCTTTCAGTAATTTGCTAAGGAATGGCAGTAGAATTGTATAGAGATCACTGAGGTTGGCGTTGACATTTAGAAGATCCTACTAAGAGATGAGTTCACCCTCATTGAGGCCCACATTTCATACGTGTGGGGTGTAAAAACCTTTTTTCCTAAATTGGGCTCCACCTGGTATCATGTGGCCCGAGAGTCAGCATGTGGGAGGAGGGATGGAGTGATGAATGGGGATTATGAAGGAGTTAAGGGGTAGCATTGAGTTGGAGGGGTGACAGCTGAGAAGCAAGTGGAAAACTGAGAAAAACTTGAGAAAATTAGGAAAAGGAACCCACTTTTCTCTTTGTCTTTCTCAAGTCTTCATCTAGTGTCTCCCTTCCTGTGACTACTGTCTAGTTAACCTTCATTCCTTCTTGCTAAAATGATAGCAGTAGCTTCTTGCTGACTCCTTCCTCTCGCCTGAAGTGCATTCCTCTCTTACCCATTCAAATCCTATTCGTCTTTTAAGACCTCCTTCTTGGAGAACTTACGAGATAGTTTTCTGCATTCTGTGATCACCCCTTCATCTCCATGTCTATAAAAACCACCTATACAAAGCCTCTGTTGGCAGCTTTCCATGTGCCAGATCACTCTGCTAACTGCTGTAGGTTCAGTCCCTCATATCCTGCCAGAGACCCGATGAGAGAAGGCTTGTTGTTCACTCCATTTTGCAGATGAAGCAGCTGAGGCACACAGCGGTTAATTCCCGCCTGGGAAGTGGTAGTTAGAATGCACACCCATGGAGTCATGACTGACTCTGGAATGGGTGTTTCTAAGCCCACCAGGCTTGGCCCTGCAGGCCCATGGCAAGTAGCATTTGTTCGCACTGTTCCACCTAACTTCTCACTTAGGGTTGTCTTTCTGGCAACAGCCTATTCATTTTTTCCGTGGTTGAGACCGTGAACTGTTCATCTCTGTAGCTCCCACAGTACCTTCCATGTAGCAGGCACATGTTCTGATTGTATGAAGGAGTTCAGGTAACGGTAAGAATGAGTAAGTCACTTGGGGTCAGTGAGCGTTGGATGGTGTTCTTTTAGAGACTTAACTGTTGCGGGTGCTCTTGAACAAGGTGATTTTAAAGTTAGTTAACTAGTTGCCTTAACTGATTTTTAGAAAATTGAGTGTAAGTGTTTGTTGACTGCCCTTCTGTTTTCTATCAAGGAGATCCAAAGGTTCTTAGGGTCTGGGGAGTTTGTGCAGCCCAGATACCATACCCGTCTTCAGTGGGTAGGAAGTGCTTACAGGGCAATGGGAGCATTGGAGAACTCAAGTCTGGAGTGGACTTTTCTGATAAATTGGTTTGCATTAAATCAGAAGAGGTCCCCGGGCCGTGGGAGGAGGGTCAGGGTCCCATTGTAATTTCCTTGCTGTTACCCTCAGGCCAGAGCAGTGCATCTCAGAGTGTTGACAAAAGCCCATGGGATCCCATTGGGGCATCTCTTTGGGTTCTTTTAGACACTGTTGTCTGGGTCCTGACCTTTTGTAGAGTGGACACTTCCAGCTGCATTAGCGTCTCTTACTATGCGCCCAGTGGTGTCCTGGCCACCTTCTCTGCTTTGACCTTCTCCAAGGTGGACCTGCAGGGAAGTGTCTTTGGTGCCTTCTCAAACAATAAGCAATCCTTTTCCCCCTGTGTGGTAGCTAATTTTGTGTTTTCCTTTCAGTGTCAAGAAATGAGTGGCATTTGGAAGGCCAAGAAATGAGTGGCCTTTGAGCTAAAGAGACTAGAGAATAGCGATGGATTCTTACACCACACATACTTGCTGTACTTTTTTATAACACGTTTCCATTCGTGTGGTTGTGGTTGGGCTTTGCAGCTGCCTTGTTGGTTGGGTTTCGTTATAAAATCTCACTCCTGTTTTACAGATGAGGAAACTGAACCCTAGCGTTTAGGTGGCTTGTCCAAGGGCAGGCAGCCAGGTGTTGGCAGAGCTGAGACTAGAAATCCTTCATCTTTCTAGTTTTACCTCACAGCTTTTATTGACACTTACTTGATAGAGAATCCCTGCAAAACAGAGGGGAGGTATTTGCAGTTGACCTGAAGCATATCTGGCACCAGGTATGCTGGTTGGTGCCCCCCCTCCATGTTCACTGAAGACATGAACTTAACAGAATTTGAACGGAGCCTCTGCAAGGTGAATTGCAGAGTCACTGGCAGAGGTGAGACCTGAACTCTGGGAAGCGGGTTTGCTGTGGTGCAGTGGCTTGTACCTTTTGGCAGGGAAAATGTGGTAAAAGCTGTGGACAGTATTTCCAGAAAGCTCTCATAGAGGGGACTTGTGCATGGTTTCGGGAGGTTCAGGGACAGCTGCTCCAACCCCAGGCCCCTCTGTGATTCCCGGTGAAGAACTTTGGGAGTGAAATGGACATGGAGTTTCATGACCTTGATGAATTTTCCTTGCTTGCCTCAGTTTCCTTCCTCTGTAGACCTGAGTTCCCTTTCATCTTGACTGTTTTGTGCTCTACCTCAGTGAGGCTGGCTTCCTGGCCCTGTGCTCCCACCCCAGCAAGACTCTGCTGACTCCTTCCTCAGCAGAGGGGAGACTCTGCCTTGAGGAGGGTTGGTTAAAGCAAGAAAGTACCCCAGAGTCGTGGGCGTGGGCTGGCGCTGAGGTATTTGTGGCTGTGTGGCAGGGGTCCAGCGTCCTTGGTGGGTTTGAAATAGCAAAGTGATATTTGAGAGGGCTCTCCTTGGATGTGCTGAGCGGAGGTTCCTGCCAGGCAGGGAGTGTCCATGCCTGCCAGAACCCTTTAGGGGGAGGGGGATGAGAGGGTGGCAGTGCAGGCTGGAATAGGTGGAGAAGGCTTGCAGCTGGGCTTCAAGGAGCTGGGGGAGTGTGCTGCCCCGTGATAAGCCAGGCTAGCTATCTGCCCAGAGGTCCTGGCAAGTTCACGGTGTTGCCTTTGGCTCTGACCCTTGGCACCCTTGTGTGGCAGATTAAAAACACAAAACATACACACTTTTTTTTCCCTCTCCCCCATTCCCCTTGGAGCGGAGGCTTTGGGTTGCGGCCCCTCTTTAGGCTCCCGCCCCGTTTTCTGCAATTCCTCTTAACCCCAGAGGCTGCCAGACTCCT